ACATTCCTGCCCAGCTGTGATGCCTATGAACAACAACAGTGGCCAAACTGGCAAGATATACTACAGGTGCAATAGTGCCACTCAAATCTTGGCAATAATCAACTATCTAGTTGGATTTAAAGTCCAATCAACAAAAAGAAAATCATTACTTGTCCTAAAAACCTAGACAACTACTTGGGACAAGTGGGAGCACATATCTTAGAAGATAACATATCACCGCCACTTTACTAGATCTACATAACTCCTTACTCTGCATTCATTGTAAATTCTAATCTTTACATCCACAAATAAGTGTCATTCTCAGGCCTAATTAAGAGCACATTTTCTTTAGATTTGACTCACCTAGACATTTCTTATACATAGAACTATACAATACATACTATTTGAGAATTGTTTCTTTCATTAATGTAGTATTTTTAGGTTCATCTATGTTTTTCAATTTAATTTTATTTTTAAAACAATCTTATTTTATACACCATTCCCAGTTCCCTCTCCCTCCCTTCCTCCTCCTGCTTCTTTCCACCCACCCTATCCACTCTTTAGAGAGGGTGAGGCCTCCCACGAGGAGTCAACAAAGTCTGTCATATCACATTGAGGCAGGGCCAGGGCCTTCCCCCCTATATTTAGGATGAGCAAGGTATCCCTCCATAGGGAATGGACTTCAAAAAGCCAGTTCAGGGATAAATGCTGGATCCACTGCTAGGGGATGGAAGTATATCCCAGTGATTAAGAGTACTGGCCGCCCTTACAGAAGATTTGTGTTCGATTCCCAGAACACACATACAGGCTAAAAAGCAAGTGTAATTCAAGTTCTAGGGGACCTCATGACCTCCTGTGGTCTTCAAATGGGGTTAGAAAATACGCCTGAGCTAATTCTATTTTACTAATTAATTATATGATGTCTATGTTTCCATTATAGCAAAATAACTATTTTAAGAAACATATGAGCAGGGAAGTGGTGGCACATGCCTTTAATCCCAGGACTCAGGAGGCAGAAGCAGGCTGATGTCTGTGAGTTCATGGCCAGCCTGGTCTACAAAGCTACACAGAGAAACCCTGTTCTGAAAAATCAAAGAAAGAAACATGAACTTACACCCATTATGAATATGTAAGAAAATGTGCCCAGTAAAATAAGAATAATTGAACACAATAAAAAAATCAAAATTCATCAATATGTGAAATGACTACACTTCATCAGTAAAAGATATTATAACTAAGGAATGTGAAGTAATTTCAATATATGAAATAGTAAAAATGCATTGGGTGCATATAACCTAATTTTTAGGGCAAACTCTTAAAATCCCACAATATGATGGAAGAATTAATAAATAAATCCACAAAAATAGCAAGATTAAAAATCATTATGAACTCTATAAATAGAGTAGCAAGAAAGTAATACAATTTACAATAGCATCAAAATGAGTTAAAAACTTGAAAATCAATCTGATGTAATAAAAACACTTGAAAATTGAAAGCTTCAAAATTGATGAAAACTGAAATCCTTAATAAGTGAAAAGACATCCTGTGTTAAGTGATTGGAAGACTTAATATTGTGATAATGTCCACACAACCTTCAAATCTCTAGACATTTGGTGAAACCTGTCTGCAAATCTTCATGACAAATTTACAAAAATAAGTGAAGCAAAAATTTATCATATTCACATGGAACCACTAGGATTCAAAATAGGTAAAAGCAATACTGTGAAAGAAAAAATACTGGAATAGATCACATATAACTTATTTAACTTTTTATCAATTTTTAATATTAAAAACAATCTTATTTTACATTCCCTCTCCCTCCTGTCTTCCTACTCCCCCATCATCTTACCATCACATCCCATCCACTACTCAGAGAGGATGCGGCCTTCCATTGGGGTTCATCAAAGTCTGTGACATCATTTAGGGCAGGACCTAGGCCCTCCCCTGTGAATCCAGGCTTAGAGATTATCCCTCCATAAGGAATGGGCTCCAGAGGCCCATTCGTGCACTAGAGATACATAAAAACTGTTTCCACTTCCAGAGACCATATAGACTGCCCAAGCCCCCCAACTGACACCCACATTAAGGGGGCCTAGTTTGGTCTTATGCAGGTTCCCCAATTGTCGATCTGGAGTCCATGAACTCCCACTTGTTCAGGTCAGCTGTTTCTGTGGGCTTCCCCAACATGGTCTTAACCCCAGGAGTTCAATTCAGTGTTTAGCTGTGAATCTCTGCTTCTGCCTCTATCAGCTACTGAATGAAGGCTCTATGATGGCATTTAAGGTAGTCATCATTCTCATTATAGGGGAAGGGAATTTAAGTTAGTCTCTCCACTATGCCCTTCCCCTATAATGAGATCACATATAATTTCAAAAGCTACAAAGCACTATGATAATAACAATTAGCATATAGGTAAATAAAACTGAGTGTTGAGACAGCCATTGATGGATATATACCGAAACGATCTTCAGAAGGGTTTCATTATACAATGGGAAACAATAGTTCCCTCAGTGGGAGGAATGACAAAACTGAATAGCTACACACAAGAGAAGGACTCTTATGTGTACAAAGAATTAGACTCAAGATTAAAATATAAGGTCTATGGACATTCTTGAAAAATATGGAGAAAATCTCCATGATATCAGTCTTGGCAGTGTTATTCCAAGTATGACATCAAAAGTTCAATAAATAAACTAAAGACAAAGTAAATTCAAAAATGAAAAATATTTTAACAAATAAATAGCCAACCATCAGATGAGATAGGAAAATCTATTTTAAAAGCTGTTAATGTTGCAATTTTCAAAATATATTAAGTAAGACAACAACTCATTAGAAAAATAAAACAATGTGTAAAGTAAATTAAAAGACAAGAAATCAAATAGAATATCTGCAGAGAAGAAATAAATGACTAATGGATAAATAATGGATATATTCTACATCACTAAGCAGTGAAAAGCAAAAAGTGAGAATATCATACCTACTAGAATATTTGTAAACAAATAATAGCAAAAGTTGAGAATTATTGTTATTTGAATCAGGTATATATCACACAAGCTCATGTTGTGAGTACTTTGATTCAACTAGTGGCACAGTTCTGGGAGGTGATAGAATTTTGGGTACATGAGTCCTAACTGGCAAATACAAGCATATAAGGTGATTCCCTGAAGGTTATACTAAATTATGGTTCTGGTCCTAACCTGTCTCCTAGTTAGTTGCCACTACGTCACTTGCTGGCACATAATCTGGCAGTCTGAATCCTTCCGCTTGTCTTGAATATTCTTCCATAATGAACTAAAATCTCCTTGACCTGTGAGCTAAAATAAAACTTCATCCCTTCAGCTGTTTCTACTAAGTGTTTTGGAAATGGGGAAGAGAAAAGCTACTAATATAGAAATGATGCAGAATAGTAAAAAAAATCCCTTGTACACTGCTGGTAGGAATGTGAAATTGTGCCCCCACTCTGTGGAATAAGTATCGGTGCCTCTCAAAAAGTTAAACATAGAATCTAGTACTTCTACATGTAGTGTAGGTGCAAAAGAATAAAAGCAAGGAAATATGCTGGTATTTGTGTACCAGTGGTCATAGCTATATTAATCAAAATGGACAAGACAAGGAAACCTTTGAAATACCTACCAATGGAAGAATGCATGGATAAATTATAAAACACAGAAATACAAATATCATTCAGTTTAAATAAGTAAAGATCCCCAGTCACATTCTATAAAATACATGAACCTGGGAGAAATGACATTGAGTAAAATAAGCTAGACATGGAAGATAAGTATTTCATGCTTCTACCTACATGCAGAATTTAAAGATTTCAAACTTATAGCATCAAAGAAAGTAGCTGATTTCAGGAAATGGTGATATAGGAAATGGGGAACTGTAGTTTATTGAGTATAAAACTTCAGATATATAAAAGTTAAAAGTTCAATAAAGCTGTTATATACAACCAAACAATACAAATAGAAGTAATATTCTCAATTTAAAGACTTGTTGAAAGTATAGATCTCATTTAAGACATAATACTGAAATTATTAAGATATAATAATGAAATTTACTTCAGAATTTTTCAATTAATTAAGGGTATTTATAAATTAAAGAACAAAATCACCTCAATTAAGTCAAAAAGTAATTGATCAAATCCAACACACTTGCATTTCTTGAATACAAAACAAAGTAGATACAGAAGGAAACTGGCAACTTTATGAATAGAATGTTTGAAAAAAATCACCCTATGATTGCATATTTAAGGTGAGGGACAAAGGATGTTTTCCCTCAGAATAATAAGAATAAAACAAAGATAGTAATCTCACCACTTCCCTTCACCAATGAACTAGAAACCTCAGTCAAGGAACAATTTAAAATAGAAAGCAATGGACAGATAAACTTGTCTGTATTGATACATAAAGTAAGATATACATACAAATCATAGAGACAACACCGTAAAGTAACCTCAAAAATCTATAGATGACCATTAGAGATTTAATGTTAAAAAGGATGAAGAAGACAAGATCAATATGAAAAATATTTGTATTTCTAAATACTAACAGTAAACAATCTGAAATAATAATAAATAAACAAACCATTCCTTTTAGAGTTGGTTTAAAACTCACTTAATAGTTATGAATCAACTCCAGTTATGTATAACATGCATGTTCTGAATTTAGAAAACACTACTAAGAGGAGCTAAGGGGATCCTAGAAAAACATTTTGTGCTCATTAATCACAATATGCAATGCTAAGATGGAAACACTGACCAAATTTATTTTCAGTAAAATCATTATCCTGATTGAAATTCTAGCCAGCCATTCTCAGAAATTGGTGGTGAAAGTGATTCTAGAATTCTCATGGAAATGTATAGAATGCAAAATATCCAAAGAAGTCCTGGCTTAAAAATGGACTCACATTTCCAAATTACAAATTCTTCCATAAAGATACAATGTTTAAAACATGGTAATACTAGCATAAGAATAGATATAGACCTTAGGATAGAATTAGGTCAAGAAATCAACCCTTACTTTGATGGTGAAGTGATTTTTTTGATAATGGTGCCAACTCAATCCAGTGGAGAAAAGTGTTCAACAAATGGTGCTGGGACAATTGGATATCTGTATGCAAAAGAATGAAATCAGTCGACTAGCCATCAGCAAATACAATAATTCAGAGAGGATCATAAGTCTAAGTGTATGCCTTAAAGTTATAACACTTAGAAAAAAGGGAGCAATATATATTCTAGAATTTTACATTGCAAAAGATTTTTTTTTGATACTTCACAAGTGGTAACATAAAATACAGAAATGTTGATCTTTATCAACTTAAATTGTATCATCAAATAATATTGTGAAAAGCACAAAAATAATACTCAACAACGTGAGGTGAGATATTTTTAATTTGTATCTGGAAAGACTAAGTTCTACAGTTGCAGAAATGAAATAAAAACATCCAAATTCTCAAAGATATGTGAGTGTATCTAAGTACAAGAAAAGATACTCAAAATTAAAAGCAAGGGAATCCAATTCAAAACTCCACTGGGATAAGCTCACATCCACAAGTCTGTTACTATTAAAAGTACAGATAATAGGTAATAGTAAGAGTTGAAGAAAACAGCAAGAATTAAGAACCTGCATAGACTTTAAATAAAAATGCCAAATGCTTTGGCTCCTTTTGAAAGCAATGGGGTAGTGTTATAAGTAATTATCACATTTAGTTATCATAGGACCCATAAATTCCATTCTGAGTTATATGTACAAGATTAATTACAACATAAGTCAGCAGAAAAATTCTACACAAATATTCAAAGCAACACTGAGTACAAAGGCTAAAACATGATGGAGAGAGAACGAAATATGGTACATCCATGCAATAGATTAATGTTCAGTTAGTGTAAGTTTGAAAGAAGCACAGCATTTATAGAACAGCATGAAAAATTCTGGCTGCTTTTAACCAAATTTATGCCACAAATTTGCAAAACCATGGTTTGGATGTAATATATGACAGAAGAATCAATAAAATTAATAAATTAATGAGTTAATTAAAAATAAACAAAACAACAACAAAAATATTTGGTGTATTACAATGATTAATGAATACTTTCAACTTATCTAGAAAGAAAAGCCGGGCGTTGGTGGCGCACGCCTTTAATCCCAGCACTCGGGAGGCAGAGGCAGGCGGATCTCTGTGAGTTCGAGACCAGCCTAGACTACCAAGAGAGTTCCAGGTCAGCCTCCAAAGCCACAGAGAAACCCTGTCTCGAAAAACGAAAAAAAAAAAAAGAAATACAACACACACACATACACACACACACCTTACCTACCTCAAACTAAACTAGGTTCACTTGACTAAGAAATTAGCTCTATTAGATAAATGTTACATTATATCAGAAATACTAAATATGATTTGATGGTATCTCATTAAGTAGGAAGGTCTCATCGATCAAAAGGTCAAATGTGAAATTAAAATTGTGAAACATTTATTTATGAATAGAGCTTGCACAGGCCGATTTGGAATAGCAGACCCAGAAAAATATTTTCCTATGTTTAACACGATAGGAAACATAAGAAGCTATTGTAGCCATGTCTCAAGGTAACTCCACTATTTTAGTATCTAATGGCAGATATCCCCACTATGAACATGATACTTGGTTTGGGGGCATGCAGAATCTAAGAATCACAGTTATGAGAAGTGTGTCTGTATACTCAAACAAATCGTGATGCCAGGCAATGTTTTTGCAGTGCACCAAGCTGTGAGTCTGAAACCAAGGCTTCAAGGTAGACTTGAGATTCTAGGAAAAGAACAACCAGCCAAAAAGCTGCAAAAAGTAAATAAAAGCCACACAAGAGAGAAGCCAGGAGGGCTGCAGTCAGAAAGAGCAAGTAGGGATGGCTAATTTCAAGTCTTTGGAGCTCACCTCATTCTATCATGTGTGTAGGGTGCAGACAAGGAGCCACGGGATTCAATCACCACATTGGTGGTTTTTGTCCAATTCACAAGTTCTTTTTCCTATTATTCAATTTTTAATGGAGATATTTGCCCTTTTTCATTGTACCTTAGAATTGTGGAACTTTCTTTTATTCTTTACTGAGATAATGATTTTCATTGAATAATAAATAAGGCTTTGATAGTGGACTATACAGTAAAACTAAAACAGTTAAGACTTTTGGAACTCCTGGGCATGGACTGAACACATTTTAACTTAGAGATTGACATTACCTCTGAGAGCAGGAAGTAAAATGTAGTGGTTTAAATTTTAAGTTCTCTCTTTAAATTCATGTATTAAATATTTGCTCCATAGCTAACAGCATCATTGCAAGCTAAAAGAAATTTTAATAAGTAGATGGAAGTCAGGTCACTAGAAGCATACATTTCAAGAGAACATAAATCCTCATTCAGGTTTCCCTGTCAATGCTTCCTGGACACTATGAGGGGAGCACTCTAACACATGTTCTTTGTACTAATATTCTGCCTTATATATAGATCCAGGAACAATATAAGCAAGGGCCTCTGAACTTAAACCTCTTTTACCATAACCAAAATTAAGCTGTTAATTATTTCATGATGTTTATCTCAAATATTGTCATGTTATTGCAAAGTGAATCTAACACACTAAAACTCAGTGACACAATTCTGAGGAAAAGGAATTTAATTCATTAAATGTATACACAAGCTAATACAAAATTGTAAGACCAAGTATTCAAATTCCTACCATAAGGAAGTAAAATAAATTGCAATACAGAACCAAATCAAAGAAAAAGAAAAAATATGGATAAGGATAGAAATTATGATATATTATTTTTACCCAGGAGAATAGTAAATACAAATCAAAGGTACTTCTTCAAAAACAATCAAAATTTAAAAGCTCTTCTATATTGAACAAAAAAGAAAAAAACAGCTAAACATCCAAAGAAAGAGTAGTATTAAAGGTCCTTCATATACTAAGAGTATAATGAGAACATTGAAACACTTTTAAAACTTGTAAAATAAGAGAACGAATCTGAATACTTCTATAGTTAATAAGGACTGAAAAATTCCCTTCAATAAAATATCTATACATACACTGGCATGTGAGTATTACTTATTATACTTTTATGCATATCTTGTTATCATGTTAGTAATTTTCATGGTTCATAGGTGTTGCAGGTGACTAAGGATTGTTTCATAATATTTTCTAGAAGCTAGACCACAGTAAAAAGTCTTGCAACTCAGATCCAGCTGGAGTCATTTGAGTCCTTTGTCCTAAGCATGGTTCATCAATATTGGCCCACCCTCAACCTATAAGAGGCAATAATGTCTACATTGATATTCTGTATTATTTTGGAATCATTTTGATTACCTTAATCATCCTTTTGAGTGGAGGTTTCTCATTCCAGGGACTTTGCTAGTCTATGATTCTTGTGGGGGAGCATTGACAGCCCAAGTAGTGTCACTTACTTTAACACACACACACACACACACACACACACACACACACACACACACACACCACTTATATGTATTGTGTACAAGTTAGGCAAATATAAAATAACTGCTAAAAACTTTATTAAACAACCTTGGTGTTATTTGTTCCCCATCTTTTTCTCTTTCTGTATGGATTCCCCTCTCTCCTCCCCTGTTAATCTGCTTCCTACTTTAAATCGCCTGTAGCCTGCTATTTCCATCCCAATCCCCCTTTTTTGGTCCCAACACTAGGTAAAGAAATACATGCAACAAATGACTGCTGAGAGACCCCTTATGAATTTTCCGGAAGCCATAAACAGAAACAACAAAAATGGACTAATAGTTTATATTTATATATTTGTGCATACACAGTCATATATATGAATATATATATACACAATAATAATCAAAGAAAAATCTGTGAACTGAGTTGGGGGACACATAAGGAGTTTGAGAGATGGTTACTAGAAGAATTTGGATGAATGAAAGGCAGGGGGAAAGTAATGTCAATTTACTTAAATCTAAAAATATCATTAAAATTAAATATAAGAAACCCACGACCCAAAGATGGCAAATGAAAAATTCCAAAAATGAATAGCATAAATTGAAAACCTACAAGCATAATTGGTTTCAATAAATAATTCTATTACTTGTTAGAAGAATTAACAAATATATGATACCATACTGAAATAGAAAACGGAACACCTAAAATTTTACTTTTGAAATGTGTCTGTTTACAGTAAATGCAAGAAAATAAACAATTATAAGACAACACTGAAACCCAATATAACTCTTGTTAGTGACTACTAAATTCCAAATAAAATATTAGTAAGCCATATATTAAAGAAGAACATGAAACCTTATTTTCTTGGTGTGGGTTACCACATTCTGTATACTTTCATGTGTTTTATTCATTTACCTGCAAATGGTTTCATTTTTTTCTTTAAGCGCAATAAAATTTTACTGTGTAGACATACCATATTTTTGCTGTCCATTTATCGCATGATATATAACAAGATTGATTCCATTTCCTGGATTTTGTGAGTAGATCACCAATAAACATGAATCTGTGCATACCTCAGCAGTGATATATAAAAGTTCTTTGGGTATACCAGCTGAGGATTATTGGTAGTGGTAGTTCGATTTCTAGCTTTTAAGTAAGTCTCCACAAAGCTTTCCAAAGTTGTTGTACCAGATAACATATGTGAATCCTAGATTCAAATATTAATATTGCTTGTTTAATTTAGGACCCCTATAAGGACCATAAATTTACAAACAGATCGTTAATAGGTGACTGCCTCAAAGAAGGAGATAATACAGTATAGGTAAGATGAAATTAGAGAGATAGAATACTATGAGCAGAAAGATTTAGTCAGGGAGGGAGTGGAGAACTAATGGAGAAGAAACGGTTTGGAAAGGTTACTAAACTGAAAGTAGTATACACAAGTCACAGGGAAGCTTACTTTAATAACTAAATTTAAAAGCCAGGTATATTAAAAATGAGTTAGAAGGTACCCTGCACAGCCTGAAAAATATGCCTCCTTTAAATTATGAGTCATTCTGGGCTACTGTGGAGGACCACGTCTAGGTACTGGTCCTACTACAGTCAGATTTGTTACCTGTACTCCCACTAGCTGACTGGGTCCTGCCACTTTCTCAGCCCCCAAATAACACA